TTATAAATCACATTTAAAATCATGAAATTTTCATTAAAACAAAGATATATATTTTATATCTCCTTCTTAATTAACAAAAAAGACGTATTTTATATTTTTTCCTATTTATTTTAATTGAGCAATAAAATCTGACGCATTCAAAATTTAAAATGAACTTTACACAAAGAAATGATGATCGAACTGTTTTGTCACAATTGCATGGATCTAATTTCAAATTTAAGGAGAAAATATTTGCTAACTATGGTCTGTTAGTATAGGTGCTGATCAAATTGACTTACTCAGCGAATGATTGCTATTGCTGACCATGATCGAAATCATGATTCGCTAACTTTGGGCGATCGATAAAGTTTGTCATGTAGAGGTCGAGTCCGCATTGTGTTTTCATGCTCGTTATTGCTTGCACTTTCACATTCTCTTTCGCACGAACTAAATTGATTCGAATGACAGGGCGCCGATAAAGTGAAGTCGTTATACACTTTTACAAGTCGTAACCGTGCATCGCTTCTCACAATAATATAGCCACTCAGGCACTCACTCTTTAAAACTCTTTCGCTCAATGCAATAGAAACGATTGCAAATATAGCTGTCAAGGTTTTCATAATCGAGAATAACAGGTTCATGATCAATGGTGACATAAAAATCATTTTAGTTTTGAAACTGTTAATGTGTTTGTTTCTTCTTTTAAGCAATTACGAAAATGCCGAGTTAATGGAAATATTGGAATTAATTGATAAATTGCTATTTGCATATAATAAATTGCCTATATCAATCTCGCATCTGTCTCGCAAATTAACATCTATTAGCCTTTTTACATTGAACAGCATTAAAGAACAATAAATAATATAAATCAAAAAACAAGATAAAATTAAGATGTCCATACGCTCGATAATAGCAAAGCTGAAGGAAAGTTAAACGGTCAAAATTCGAGCAAAAGAAATTTTTAGATGTTATAGTTTAGAGTTAAACCTTCCTTCAGCTTTGCTATTATCGAGCGTATGTATCTTGTTTTTATTGTTTATAGACGCTGGCCTTACAATGCGTTATAGACATAGAGTAGTGCCTTTTAGATTCCATGTTTTCAATTTTAATGTTATATAACTTTATATCTATTTTTTGCGTAATTCATTCACTCAATGTAATATAAATCTAAACATAAATAATATAAAAAACAATAAATATAATGTAAATCTGTGCTTGATTTATATGTATATATCTAAGCTAAATTATTGTTTCTGTTATAAAAAATTAATACTTTTTTCCTTGTTAATTTAAATTAATTTGCATTAATGATATTACTTATATTAGGTATTTTTTTGTGTAACTAGTATTACATATGTGATTTATTGTTATATATCCGTCAATCAGAAATTTTGATACTGTATAAAAATGTATAACACATTTATTGTAATAATAACGCTGCTCTTAAGTACATTTCAGCTCAAGTTTTTAACAGTTAGAAGAAAAATTAGAAAATTATTTATTATTAACAATATATTTAAAAAAAAGATAAAAATAAATTATAATTACTAAATTTTATAAAATTTCTAAAGTGTACAAAGTGCACAAAATTTATTATCAGCAATGTTAATGATTACAAAGTTAATGGTCTACTTGTTTGAAGTTTAAAAAATTGACTGCGCATAATAATTCTTTAATTTTCTATTTGCATGTAACATGACTTCTTTCTATTTTTTTTCAGTACTTTATGTACTTTGATATTATTTTCTTTGAGTATTCGCAAAGAAAAGAAGCTTATCAAATTGTGACAGTTTGATTGAAATAATTATTACTGAATACTATATTGCTCATATTACGAAACATCGTTGTTACAAAAAGGGTGTTACAAATTAAATTGCACTCAACTTAAAGAGAAAACAAGATAAGTCAGTTATGATATCATATGGTTCGAGTTATTATATGATATTCGCGTCTAAACTGATTTATTCATTCGCTTTTACACAATTCATCTAGATAATTACAGAGATTAGGTCGGCTATGCATTCCGTTACGTAATGCAATAATTCGGCAAAATGCGGCAAAGCAGTTTTTCAAGTTATCTGTATATCTTTCTATCCAATGAGGAAAGTGCACGCCTCTATGCACTGCGAAGCATACACGCGTAATCCACAAGAGTCGTGCAAACTTGCAGCTAAACGTTGCGTCACGTACCGCATTAAAATTTGTATTAGTTTTAGCATAACAATGATTTACTCAGTAAACAAACCAATCTGTCAGGAATTCACATAGATAAATTGAGATGACACATAAAGTTTTATCTTCGAAAGAATAAATGTCAAATAGGATTAATGTGCACCTACACACGGTTGTGAACGTTAAATTAAAATATAACTAAAATAAAAAAAAATGAGAGAAAAAGAAAGGGCGAAAGAAAGACAGAGAAGATAAAATATTTCAGAAATAAATTATTTGATAATTATTCTCGTTTGACTATACAAAAGTTTTAAAAAATATAATAATACTGCGCAATATGCAAAAACTAAATTAAAAAATATTTAAAAATCATACGCTATGTTCTTACCTAACTAATCATTCACAAACGTTAGACATTTCTTCTGCTTTTAAATTTTTATATTTACTTTTACTATAATTTGATTAATGCAGAGTAAATACTTAATGTATTTAGTTACTGTATTTATACTATTGCTATGTTTACAAAGTTATAAAAAAGAATAAAAAAGGTGGAATAAGAAGAAAACTGTATCTAACAATTATCTCAAAAATTATGAATTGTCTTTTAAAAAAATATATCTGGATACGATAATAATGGAAACTAAACTAATAGATCAATTAGACAAACAGATGCAATTTTTTTATTAAGACCATTGATTTATTTCAAAAAATTCTATTTTGAATAAAAATCCTTTCGTTAAAAAAAAAAATTATCCAAAAATCATCAATTAAAATGATTCTGTTTTGAAATAATATTGTAGCAAGTGCAGAGTATAATAGATGTGAAATATTAAATACCTGATGTCGATGCTCCACACGTCCGATTTAATCCTTTGATTGCCTGCGATTAGCGCAATGTTCTTGTTGCTCCGTGAAGAATAGATCGCGCTTACTTCGCGGCGTGCTCGCGAACTTACTGAGCTCCTTCGTAATCCGTGCTGAAAGTTGTACTGTTGAAGAACGACCTGCCGATCTCTCTCTTTCTGTTTCTCTCCCCACCTGCACATAACTGTAGCTGCACACGCCGGGGCACACACATTATGAACTTTTTCTTTCCTTTACGTCAATTTTCCAGTCATTATTTCGAATAACGTAGGAAATATAAACTGGACTATAAGATAATAGATTCTTATCTTACTTTGAACCTTGAAACAAAAAGAGATCTTGCATCTTTCAGAATTATTAATATATATATATACCTTTCCTACCGAACAACATTCGCCGCAGGTATCGAATGCAGGTAGTTAGCTTTAATACACATTCTATTTAACGTAACTACGTTTGCAAGAGTCGCGAGAAATAGGAATCCGTCATTGGTTTTGTATATCCTATTGTTATATCTATGCCTATATGCGTAAAAACAGTTTGATGTTTATTGGCGGAAAGCTATTGGTATAAACAGTACTGTTCTCTCTCTTGTCGAGAGAGTAAACCAAGTCGGTTTTCTTCTACTCTCACTCTCTTGGTCCTATAAAGAGTTCACGCACCTTCACAATTCTTACATGCGCACGAGATTGTTTAGAAGTGTAGGAAGTAATAGCTTGATGAAAATAGAATATATACAAAATTTAAAATATTTAATCGAACGAATTTATTTAAAATAACAAAATATATTTTTAAATAATTTCATTAGACCGAGTGTAATAAAATTTGCTCAGCGTCTTATAATAAATAATAAGCTAAAGGAAAAAAATATTATATGATATTAAACATTTTATTATTATAAATCTCTAGAAGATAATAAACTTGATTTTATTATACCTTATTTTTTAGCAAGATAAAAGCAAAATATTCAGTATTTTATTAAAAACAAAGACATTGCCCAAACATATCAAATATAATTTGTAGAAAGTTATTTAAAATAGTAAATTTAGAAAAAAATTAAAAAGTGAAATATTTATTGGTATATAAAATATTTTAGTTACTATATAATTACAGCAATTAGAAAGGGGCAAAGCTTAAAATCTGCTTACATAATAGATTTCAAAAAATGCAGTTTATTTGTAAGAAATATGGTAATTATAATTTTCCAAAAATATAAAATACTGTGAGAGATTCCATGAGAGAGATTCCATTTCTAAAAAAGACATGTAAAGTCGATACTCGAAACTATCGAAGTTTATTGTTGCCGTTTCTCCGCAATGCCGATTAGTTTTCTTTATTAAATAATTATAAATTATAATTAAATAATTATAAGATAAGATTTACTACTACGGGGGATTATTAATTTATTTATGTTATACTTACAATTTTATAATATAATATTTTTTACTAACAATTTTATAATACAATTTTATAATATTTTATACTTGCAATTTTATAATATTTTATTAATGTTTAAAACCTAGCATTATTTAGTCTGACTCTTCTTCTATTCATCTTAATAATCATTGAAAATTTGACCTAATAATACATTATCAAATTATCAAAATATAAAGATAAACACATGTGAAGATAAACTATAAAAATTTTGAATATAATTAATTGTATAATTATGGAGTAAAAATTTATTTACTACTATCTTACATAAAGTTTAGTATTTAGCATTTACATTGTGTTTCCTTGTCTGAGTTATTACCGTGGAAATCATTAGCACCACGGTCTATAAAACATTTAATAGACAAGTTGACGTAAGAAATGATTTTATTGACGAAGTTTATTATATGCTACACATCACATTCGCTGTAATCGCTACTTACGCTGTCAGAATCATCTAATGTCCGATTAAATACATAAAGGTATTATTGGATAAGATGCATAAGAGTGATCAGCCGGATCATGAGATTATATTAGGTGAATGTGAAAGCCGCCTACCTCACAGGTTACTGACCTGTAGCGATGCAATGCTTGTTGCAACTTCGCGAAAACTGGAATTCAATTATAAAATTTAACGTCTAATTTAACAATGTACTCTGTTGATTTAAATTCTGTGATATATATTAATGAACATCAAGGAAATAAAAAAACCTTCTGTTTCCTCGAAAATAATCAAAAGTAATTTGAAAAAACATCGCAAAGCAAAAAACATCAATTATTACAATTCCTATTATTCAGCATCATCAATTTTCTCTCTACAGAAACAGATGCAAGAAACACCGATTACAATACCTGCGAAAATCTTAATAAATCTTTATTTTCTTGATCACTCTTTGTATTAAATTAGAAACCTAATAAATAAAAATGCTATATAGGAAAAAGAGAGAGTGTCAGTAAGATCTTAAAATATATATACATTGTATATATTTTATGGATTTGTCCTATAAAAGTAGCCATTAATGAATTATTATCCATTATTAAATTCTTTTTATGTACATTCCAATGACATAATAGATTTAAACCAGACGGTCAATTAAGATTTTTTTAAATTATTCTAAAAGAACTAAAGATAGTAACTGCCCATATTACAACTTTTTATTTCTCTCTTTCTCTCTCATCTTCTTCTCTATAATTTAATATGCACAGTAAGTTTATATGTCATAGGCACACGGTATATACTGTATCATATTAGGTATGTGTATATAAATGTAAAACATAGTTCTTCTGTTTCTACTATATCCAGATATATCGATTAAAGCTGACGCATCCAAAAACTTTTAAAAAATTCCTAAAGTATTTATATAATTTATATTTTTATATAATTTTTAAAGTATTTATATATAGTTGTATCAATATGCTCATCAATAACTACTATAATTTTCCTCTTGCAGTATAACTTTAGCAACTTACAAAGATAAATTTGAGATACAAATTTTATCGTGTATCAGAAAGTTAATAGAAAGAGTCGGTAAGGTAAAGAGTATTTAAAAAATTAAGAAGCATATTTTTTTATATTTTTAAAATTTTGTATGAGGAGATACGCGGAGACCTGTTAACCGAGGCAAGTTATCGTTCGTTCAGTTACCTTTCACAGTATTCTCGTTTATCCATATCCGGGACATCGAGTCTCCAGTTTTGCAGTCATAGTGTTGCATAAGAAGTCTGCGACGCCGAATCGGGTGTATTAAATCTAGAAACTTGATTTCATTGTAATTTCAGATTGCGCCATCATGAAACTCTAAAAACGTGAGCGTGAATTAACATCGATAGTCACCGCTTGTTGCATTTGTTAGTCGCGAGCCCGTATCTCCGGTTTCTATATACAGAAAAATGAATATTCTTGATTTGAAAATATTTCTGATTTCAACGTGAAAATCTTGAAATAAGATCATATTACAAAGTAATAAGTAGTTAAACAAAGTAACTTGCTTGAATGAAGTATTTTACATAGTTCAATCAAGAAAAACAAGTTGAAGTAAAAAGTTAAAACTCTTATAAAAAGATAATAGATTGTTGCATATATACGAGAGTAATCAGTACACGTTATGTATAAGTTCTGATTTGAATATATAAATTTTTATTTGACACTTTTTTTGCGTACCTATAGTTCAAAAACACACAATTCAGGTTTCAAGTGAGTGCGAATGGAGGATGTAATATAGACATAAAGAAACCTTTCGCTTTTCTAGTCTGTTTCTCGTCATGTGCATCCCAGGAACAGAAATGTCGAAATTGCGCGTCAAAATTTCAATTCGCTGAGTTTCGTGACGCGAACTATTCTATAAATAGTTAACGGGAATTCATAAAATGATCAAGGTTACGAAAGATCACAATCAGACCTTGAATGGCAAAGTTTAACTATTCACGAGATGACTATAGACATTAAGCAATAAGATGACTACAGAAATGTAATATAAATAAAACATAGCGTAATTCATGAAATAACATATTATTCAAAAAGTACCGTGAAATGTTTATTAATTGCGGATTTAAATGTGAATGTAATTTTATAAAATATTTAATCTTTTGTCGAAATGTATATAACTTATAAATATTTAAAACATTTTTAAATTTGCGTAAATTAACATTGGTAAAGTAATTTATTATAGTTTATCTTATTTTAAATTATAATTAACTTATCTTAAATTATAATTAACAAAATGTTTTATTATTGCTTTGGAAATAATTTATTATCAATTTATTAGCAACTTTATTGATTCAAAACAATGTATAAGAAATGTTACAGCAAATAATGCTTAATAAAATATTTTTATTCTAAAAATTTCCTGGTATTATTTTATTGTGCTTAATAATAAAAGTTTGTTCTGCATAAAAGAATATACCTATATGTTCATTTATACGTGCAAAATTTATTTCTTTGAAATAATGCTGGCCACACACATTTTCTGTAAGACGTAACATAACAGTAAGGTTTCTACCAATCGCGTTGCTCGATTCGGCCGTCTGTAACCGTAGAAGTAAGAATTGAGCAACGCGATTGGTCGAAATCTTACTGTTACGTTCTGCAAAAAGTGTGTGTGCCCTGCTTAACACTCGCTGCGCAATGCACGTCATCGATTACGCAGATTAGTGTTTATAAATGTCATATTATAAATGTCAATAAAAGTAACTTAGCCTTTAGTCTAGTCTATGTCGGTTAAACTATTGACAAAATATTAATGTCACATATATCTATGTCAAAACTACATTCCTTCAAGTGACATGCAATTTGCATTTACGCCAGATGATTATATCCTATTGGAATTAAAAATTAATCGTTTTGGAATGTTATGTTCCTCTCAGATTATTACGACATCTTCCGCCAAGCCCCCGTGGCCTTGATAAAACGATAATACTTGTATACCTATCTTAAAGAAAACTGGTCTCTTTTATTATCAGATAGTTTCAACGTTCGGTAATACTAAATCATTGAATAAAAAATATACCTCCAGAAAAAGAGAAAACATCAAATAACCATCGAAGAAGACCCTTTCCAAATTTTGATTAAAAAGAATAACTGCAAACGCTTCTTATAAAATGGAAACTTTTCTTTAAAAATTATAAACAGTTAAGTTATTATAAAAAATGGCAAAATTATTTTTTAATTGATTGTGCAATAATCATATTTAAGTCTGGTGAATTGTGGATAAATCTCTTTATATTAAAAACAAAATTCAATATTATTTATATATATATACAGTTCAATAAGTAACAAACTTACAACTAATTATTACCCTTTTTCCTTCACGTCCTTAAAGAATTTCTATTATTGGATGTAGGTATACATACGTATATAATGCAGTACAATCATTTAAGATAACTGTATAAATTAATGCATTCTGTGCAACACACATATTATATCTGCCGACATAGAATTTATATCTTTGTTTAAATATGGCTATTACTTCTATAATACAAAATTCTTTAATATTATAAAAAGTTATAAATTTCATATACAATCATAACAATAAATCTTTTAATATAATAAGTAAATTTAAATAATATGTCAAGTTTTTATAACAGTAATTTTAAAAATCTTTATAATTTAATATTTTAATAAGACAGTTTTATCTGTTTTTATTCCTTCTAAACGTTAACTGTAAAAATTTAAAGTTTATTTAAGTTCAGTTTATTGAGAATTAAAGAATTTTCCATCCATATTATATTTTAGTGAAGAAGTATATCTTCTTTACAAGTAAGTACATAATACCTCAGTATTTGACTAGTGCAGAGTATTCTCACAGATTTGCGTAAGTACATAATACATTTGCTGTTTGATCAGTGCACATCCTAATAGGTTTCCATTGAATAAATAGATTACGTAACTGATTAATTACGCGATTAAATTATATTTAAATATTCTTAATCTTAAAGAAACATTTTCGTAAGTATTTCTTTATTATTTGATCATACAATTGAATATTTTCAGTGTGTCTTATTTCAAATATATCAAAAGTATTTCCTTCTAAATAATAAATCATTCAGCGAGTTAATAAAGTACAAAGATCACAACACGTGCGAAACTTAAAATCACGTCATAATTGTGATGAGCAAAAAAGGCGTAATCGTATATGTAAAATAGCATTTCTGCATGCGTACACCGACTGCTGAAAAACACTAAAGAAGCAAATAAAAAGATTAACTCTTGATCCTTACCTTGGCTAAGAGATAATTTTCAATATAAACTAGGCAAGTTTGTTACACGCTATGTAATTTCATTTAAAAAGTATAATATTATTTAACTTTTGAACTACGATTTGAATAATTATTTAACGCGAAACCACGTTATACATCGTTGTACATCTAAAAGAATAAAATATCGGATAATATTCTATGCGTTATATATTTAAAAAAAATTTATAATTTTTTACATTTTGTGCAATAATTTACTTTTTTATTACATTTACGTATAGACGGGTGATTATGAAAGATTTGTGATGGAAAATAATTTATTATGTATAAAATATAGTACTATAATAGTTTATATTAATTCTAATCCGTAAACAAGGTTTTATATATACATATATATATATATATATATATATTCGAGCAAATTAGTTCTCTCACTCTCTTTTCAATATCTCAATAACAAACCTACTTCCCTTTAATATACACTGAAAAAAGTGTTAATCCGAAATAATATTTAGTCCGATACGTTCAACTAAACATCATGTTAGTTAGTTAACTAAACATTAGTTATATTATATACTTATTAAATTGTTTCAACAATTAATTAATTTATTATAAGTTGCACTAAAAAAAGGTATAGTGCATTCTTGTCAACCATCAAAATTTTTTAATCAAAAATTGACTAATTCAACTAATGTTTAGTTAAATTAACTAAAATGTTTAGTTGAATGTATCGGACTAAATATTTTTTCGGATTAACACATTTTTTTTTCAATGTATAGCAATATCATATAAACATATTTTATATGTGATTATATGACAAATTTTTTCTTAGGACGTTTTAATATAAATTTTAACTCTCAATTTAATTAATCGGATGTAAATATATGAAATTCAAGATGTCGCATGTCGCGCACGACAGTCTTCGTTCCGTAACAATCGGTAGCACACAGTATTGTTGACACCTGTATCTCCGACGATAGGATAGTTCTCAAATTAATGATTCTCGACCGCGATCCAACGTTTTATTAATCCCGGGCGATATGTCAGAATTGTAGAATTACATTCACCATTTTTCAACGAGCGTTAGCGAGACGTTTTGCGTGTATACTTATATTTTCTAACCTATAATAGCACACACATATCTATTATATTTGTCATAAGTAGTCATAACGTGTGGCTTCGTGTGAGTGCGAATGATTAATAACAATAACAACTGAAGGATCGTGAGTTCAATCTTCGTCCGCATACCCTTCGTTTAATAGCTCGTCTAAAATAGCCGTAAAAGTAAGATGTGAGCAGTAAGCTATTGACCAACCGCACAGTCGATTATTCTTGAATTGTAAAAATCCCATTAGTCAACAGCTTACCGCTTACGTCTTACTGCATACTGTTGCGGCTATTATAGACGAGCCATATGAAGAGGTTTCCCTGTTCAAGGGAAAGAGAAACAAATTAAGAGGATTCCCCTGTTTAAAAGGAGCAAAAAAGGATAACAAGGTTCGAAATTTTGTGTTAAATAACTGATAAGTAATTGGTCGGAGACGTGATACTAAGATTGTCTCATCCTAAACATTTAAAAATCCTCACGCATATCTATTTGTTTAATTGCAATAGCATTAGGACTAGGAGATGTCTTCGCATACGACGGAGTTGACCGAGCAATTGGTTAAAGACTACGCCAATTACGCAAAAGTGGACTGGAGCAATCAGGCAAGTGTGCCATTTGCCACAATATTGGTATCCAGTTGTTTGAGAGGAGTTATTAAATGACTCGTGTTCGTGTTTCAGATGAAAAATGTCCACGATGTCATAGAGGATACATTGATACGACTAGAGGAATTCCAATCGATTGTTGCAATGGTTAGCCAGGAATCCAGATAGAATACGAACGACTCAGTATATTCTGATGAAACTTTAAATATCTCTGTCCCGCAAGGTGGAGAATAGCAGTGCCGAATGCATGCAGCAACATCTTCCAAAGTTACAGCACATGAAGGACGGTATGGCAATTCTTCGCAAAAGAATAGATGCGTTGGAGCATGTTGTCGCAATGGCCAACATGAATTTAAGCACCCTGGAAGCTGCTGTAGACAAGGCTGAAGCTGACCTAGGTGTATCGGATAGATTATTCGGGATATTAAATCCTTTATCATTTTTTGTAAGTACAACTTACTCAAAGGGTACATTCTTAGCGTATACTTTAAGTTATTAAATAATTGTGCACTTTGTACGATTGTTATCCATAAAATTATATACAATAGCAACTTGAAGCAACTTGAATTTACTTTTGATTTTTTAGAAGAAAACTCAGGAACCTGTCGCATCAAGTGCAGTGCCAATATATAAATCGCCCATAATTTATAGGTCTGATGACTATTTTCAAAGAGAATAAAAAACGTATGCATAAAAAAAATGCTTAAGTTATGAAGTACCTGTTATTAGATTAAGAAAAGTATTTGTAACTTTGTATAGAATCAGTAATATCTATGCCAAAAGAAAATGAAATTGATTGAAGAACATTAAATAAATCTATAACAGATTTTTATTCCATTATATTTTTTGTCATTTATCACACCGAACAGTAACTTGATTAGCAAGATTTTATGTATACTGTATTTTATTAGGAACATGATTACCTATACAGTAATTTGTAGGATATTCCTAGCTTGTAAAAATGTTACAATAAAAACATTATTTATCTCACTCTTAAACCTCTCAAAATCCTGCTGTATCCTGCATTAAACAAAGCATAAAATATTCTGATATAATTTTCTGAAATAAAAACGCATTTATTGAAAAAGTCTGTATGAAAGATGAAAGGTACACGAATTTTAAGTAACAAATGAAAGTTTCCACAAAACCGTTCATTTGAAATACTCTCTATTTTTCACCTTCACGCTTCCTTTTTAATTAATTACCATTGTTCAAGCAGTGCAAATTTCCTTAATGCTACATTGTGCGTGTAAAGTGGTCTAACATGCTGCGGAAGTGCAAGTTTTTAATTGAGCTTTCTTCTCTCCCAAGGAACAACGTCCGCCTATGCAATGCCTCCACCTCATGATCTTTCCTATTCCACAAGTGACGCTGCATGTTGACCAATTGCCCCATTGGTCCCATATTTTTGGTTCTCTGCTATTTTTTTCTGAAATAATACAACACCAGTTATTCCCCTTGTAACGTGAAAAAAAATCAAAGAATCAAAATTAAACTCAGAAAAGGCTCGCTCTGAATAAAATTTAAAATATAATATTAAGTTCATAATATTAATTTGTAATTAAATTTTGAATTATATTATTTTGTCATATTAAAAACATGTATAATCTATATGATACATAAAAACGTCGCGTGATTATAGTCTTTCACTGACTAAAAACTTCTATAGTAGTATAATACTGAGAGTTCTTTATTTGCATTTCGTAGAATCTTTCTATGTATTTTTGTTTTATATAAATTATCTCACATTACGTAATTATATCGACCTGACATAATTATACCAATAGACAGTATTTAGTTAGTCTTAATTTTCCAGTCATTAAAATTTGATTTTTATATTTATATGGTTAAATTAAATGATCATCTTAGGAATAAATACACTATTTTTATCTTTATTCCTAAGATGGTCATTTAATCTAACCATATAAATAAAAATCAAATTTTAATGACTGGAAAATTAAGAATAACTAAATACTGTCTATTGGTATAATTATGTCAGGTCGATATAATTACGTAACGTGAGATAATTTATATAAAACAAAAATACATAGAGAGATTCTACGAAATGCGAATAAAGAACTCTCAGTGTTATACTACTATAGAAGTTTTTAGTCAGTGAAAGACTACATTAAATAAAACAGAGAACATTCCAATCATCTCAAATATTCTTGATAACTTTCACTTGGTATGGTACTGTGTTGGTTCCCTTTAAAGAGAAGGGAGCGTGAAGTTAAAAATTAAAAAACATTTCCAGTAAACACGCAGATTCCGTGGAAACTTCCACCTATTGAATGTGTGTGTGTGTGTGTGTGTGTGTACCTTTCACTTATTCTTCTTCATACGTACGTCACATATACGCACACATACACATAATCTGGTTTAAATTGGATTTTAGTATAACTAGAAATTAAGATTATATTTCCTTTAATATGATTTATAATCATGTTCAGAGAAAGATAAATTATATGAGATGTTGCCAAAGAGTTCTCGGTATTAATTTTGCAACACTATTTGGTCAATGCGAGAATTTCTGATTAAAGGAAAGAGTCAAACGGCCAATGGAAATTTCCATCTATTGCTTGAGTCTCATGTTATATTGTTACAAGTTTTAGTTCTTTAATTTGATGGAATTTAATGATTAGGGCAAAAGGAGCATAGATTTTGTTTTCAGATAAGACAATTTTATGTTACGCCATGTTGCACAAAGCACTCCTGCATTGCAAGAATTTGAAATCGTGGTATAATGGTGCATAAAGAAGATATTCGAGTAATACAGCTCGTGGAAATTTCCATCCACGCACTGCCCAAATGTTGTTCATGTTCGTTCCGATAAATCGGTACTGAGATACTGGGAAGGTATCTAAATCTCGAACCGGTCTCGGTGAAAGCCACAAACGCTGACGGATATGCGACCCGCGATTGCACACGAGACTTGCGCCCACTCTTATTTATTTATTTATTATCCCTCGTACGTCATTTAACCCACTTATTATATAATCATAATTTTCAGATACGCAAACCAAGTTATAATTTTTGTGTTGCACAAAGGTATCCGATATTTTGATTATAAATTTATTTGATGTACTCCGCGAATAAATGCATTGCTACAAATAAAAATTCTATGAATTATGCAAATTTGTACAAACATATATGTATTGTAGCGTGAAAATTTTGATGATAATACAAATAGCAATATACATATATTCTAACGATATGCTTTTATTGTAATTCCCAATATTCAATTATATTAAGTAAATTTTAATTATATTTTTAAATTGGTAAATAGTTGATTTTACACGCAATCGAGATTGTATTACTACCTCGTTTGATTTGCGGCCGGATATTATCTTCCTCTTCATCATCATTATCGATATCACGAAACACATCATAATTTTTGCGTTGGAGTTTATCCAACTTTATCTTTAATGTGTCGATATCACTTTCAACGACAGTAGGTGTAATATTTGACGATACTTTGTCAATTTCTGAAATGGTTTCTTTGAAGGCTAAAATTGAAAAGTTATTTTGCATAGAAAAGTGATACTGTATTTGAATTATAAATGTTTTGCAGCAATATTACCCATAAAAAACACGAGTGTAGCGAAGTAAACAAGGATCAATCGGCTTCTATCCATATATTTTTGCGTTGTCATTAATGTTAATATATTTATATTATATACGGAATATCGCACTGAAGTTTGTTCTACATCACTATTAAATCCGCATTAAATATGATGAAGTAATCCATATTAAATATGAAGTTTCAAATAAAAAACAACTACTATATATACTGTTGTTATAAAGTAGTCATAAAAAGAAGTATCTCTGTGTATCATAAAACTCAATCTAGTTTAATAATATTTCCAGACACGCATTGCATACATTAGACGTATTAATATGTATATTTCAAATCTATTTTTCAAGTTTAAGTTTTTGCTGTCACAATAAAATACAAATATATCTTGAGAAACAAGGTGAAAATTTCATCAAAGAAAATATCTATGGATCAATGCCTACAATATTGTGTATTTTTCCTGTTGTTAATTCAATTAGATAATTTTTATTTCGGCAAAGAGAGACAATAGAAACTCTTTTCTTGATAGTTTGCAAAGGACTCTTTTGTTTGTGCATTCTCCAGACCACTTAGTATTAGTACTTTTCGCATAATGATGTCGAGAAGCCTTGTCAATTGCTTGCTTTCGTAAGTCGCAAACAGATCATGATTTTATCCCGAGCCAACCGAGGAAGCCTTTGGTACCGCAATCCTTGAGACGGCATCTCTTCAACTGCGCCTTCTTCAGACCTTCGATGCAATCTGCAGACAAGCAGTGACGCCAACGGACCTGTCGTCCTTGCCCGCAAGTCACGCTGCACGTGCTCCAAATACTCCAATTGTCCCACGCCGCCGAATCTACAATGAGAGGCAAAGATAAAACGCAGTTTCACTTTTTTTCACTCGATGTTACTTCGATTTCACAGCGAACGCTGCGAAAAACAACAAAAAGAAATTCGTTGAAGTCCGTTTTGCGGAATAATGAAATGTGCGAACTTATAAAACCGGATTGGAAATTTATTTTCCAATCCTTTCTATTCCGCTGCATATTTTTATGACATTAATTTTATATGTAATGAATAGTGTCTATACATTATTTTATATTTACAAGATGCATTATTTAACATTTGTGTACCTGCTATTTTAATCTCACAAAGGATATTGTAAGAGAAATCGATGAAAGAGATTAGAGATGTCATCGTGACAAATTATTTTCTAGACTCCGTTGTGTCTCAATCACGGTCAATCGTCATATTACTCGAATATTTTAAAATTAATCATAAGGATTTTTTATTCGACTTAACTGGCTCTCTTTATTAATAATAATCGTCCTGACCCTGGATTTTGATCCCTCTCAATCAATGTAACTTTGATGCTAATATTTACAAGCAATAATTCTCTTTAAAATCACTCACTTAAAAATCGTTTAAAATCACTTCTCTTAAAATCGTTGTAATGATTATAATGATCAAAAGCAGTGGTCGAAACGTCGTTACGATTATTTTATTAATAAAAATAGTCACAATTAATTAGATCGAATAAAAAATTCGTATCGTTAATCATTTATTAACGAAGTTGGTTTCTGATTTGGTTTAAAATTAATCCTTGATTTCGAAGATTGGTTGTCAAGAGACGAATTTCTTTCTATTCAATGCATTTGTTACATTGTCTTCTGCATTGTCTTATCACCTATATCTTCGTCGTTCGATTCAATATCCTTTGCCGCGACATTGCGCTTCCTCTCCGTTAGACCCAATGCTTCTGTCAGAATAACTTCACGTATCCCGTTATGAAACCTGCTACTTCTCGTAGGGCGAGTTCCAAAAAAGTTTTGCTCGTAGCTAAGCAACTTTCGCCGATAGGTCACATCGGCGTCCGTTTGAGAGTAGGACAAGTGGAAATTTCTTATTGCGCTTTTCCAATAACGCTGTAGCGAGATCAATGTCTTGTTTTCTACCTATAGTACGTAAAATTAATATGAAATATTTGCAAATATAGGAATCATCAAAGTTATAGAATATATGCGTAGGTTTTTGCGAACCTTGGGTTTATCCGTTGTAAATTGTTGAATGGAGTGATGACACGATCGCGAATAAATGTCCGAATAATAGCGTCTTTCATTGCTGGAACACTTCGAACTACCGAATAAACCGAGTCGGCAAGTATGCTTGCTGTATACAGAAATGAGAACGTTTATCTTTCTTTTATAGAGCAACGAAGAAACTATTTTTCACCGTATGCAAAATAATCCTTGCAATTCTCACATTCTTATAATTATAAAGAAATTAAGAAATTAACAGATATTTGTATTACGATAAAGAATTTGTATATCGCAAAACATTTGTATGTGTAAACAACATACAGAATAATATTCTTTGAATAAACGTGGCAACTTTACCTTTTGCCAGATTCATTATACGGATCGGTAATCGATATAACTATATTGTGCTCATAATTCGGCACATTAATTGCAAATGCTCTGACGATGCAGGGTCTCGGAAAATTTAATACTTCATAAATTACGCATCCGAAGTAAATATTATACGTCCAAATTAGTTTAAGTAATACTTGCATATCATATTCATTTCAGATTCTCATATCGTGCGGTTATGTATAAATATCGATAAAAAACTCCGTACTCTGTGTCTAAATTCACAATGCGACGAAATCACAATAATACAAAATAATACAATATTATACTGTATAAACACGGTATCTGAAACGCAAGAGAGAGAATATTTAAATATTTTTTCTTATCAATCAGAGAATATATTATTATCTTGTTTTCATAGTTAAATAACTAAATAAAAAAATCAGAGACATTAAATAAATATTCCTACAAACAGGATGAAAAATATAGATTGTAACAATATAATAAAACAGCTCTTAGTTTGTTCTGTAGTTTTCTATATTTTTACTATATTACACTGTCTTTCTCTTTTTCTTTTATTTTAAAATATCTTTCATTTCCCTAACTTTTGTAATTGTACTACAATTTATCACTATTTTTTAAAAGAAACTAATATTTTTATATATAATTATGTTCCTGCAGAATAATACATATTTCGAAAATTATTACATATTTTGATAATTAAACTTTTATAGATTTACGTAGAATCAAATATTAATAATTTAACGATAAAAAAGTCCAATAGCAACAAAATATAAAACGTTACATTAGTTTCTATTTAAAAATGCTATAAAGATTATACATCATAAAGATCTTGACTGTGTATAAAAATATAACTAATTGTAAGTTGTAAGAAATTACATATAGATAATTAAAAGTTATCATCAGACTTTCTTATCACATAAGATATATTATTGTATTCATAAAACTCCCGAAATATGAATATGCGTATGTTACATATGATTGCATGCGTGTGTACTGAGTTTATAATAAAATATTTTGCTATTTGCCTGCTCTATGTGCTTTAATAATAACTGTTAATAATAACTGTTTAAAATTGATAATCATTATGTATTAATATTTGCTTTCGATATAAAAATACGTGACTATGTTCGACTTAATTTACGTGAAGATGAAAAATATAAAACGATTGCTAGTAAAACATTTACCACATATTTATAAATTTTAACTAACTGCCGATAACGCTTTGAATGTAAAAGCTGAATAGCCATAGTAATTTAATACGTATAAAAAGTACAGTTTTGATCATTGGGCGAATTACATAATTTATATTTAGATTACGCTCATAAAATCTAATATCGGTAGGCTTTTATAAAGCCAATTCTACAATAGCCGTAAAAGTATGTTTTAAGACGTAAGCAGTAAAAATTGACCAACTACAGTCGATCATTCTTGGATTGTAAAAATCCTATTAGTTAATAGCTTACTGCTTACGTCTTAACGCATACTTTACGGCTATTGTAGAATGGGCTTAAGGGGATCCTGCAGTGACTGGCAAACTTCCTCGATGTCGATAATGTCAACCTTTCTAATTTTGTTTTCCCTATATCTGTCTTTATCTAACGAAATGACATCTGTCCTTTTTTCGATTGCTCGTCATCTTACGCAAGATCCGGCAACTACTGTTGCTGCTCTTCTTGTCAATCTGTATCCGTATTTGCATTACTAAAATAATTTTTCGATGGATCTTTTTTTGTACGTATTGAATCTTACTTCTACTTGCACGATATTATTCCTACATGTTTTCCCAAGGGCAGATGATAAACATTATGTATGTATAAACTGCAAAATTTTTGTTTTAAGTAAATATTGTCGTCAGGTGACAGCTGTATGTGCCCAAATAAGTAACATTTTTAATTTTTTGGTGTTTTTGATATAAAACCGCGTTTTCTACCCTAGATTTTTGTGCGTACTTTAATTCTAGACCAAAAACTTGCAATTCTGTAAAGCCAATTAAAAGATCCATCGAAAAACGAAAATGTCGGTAAATCATACGGCTGCAGGATTCCCTTAAGAGAAGCATTGTATTAAAATGTCGCAAATATTAGACTAATCATAACCTGAAAAAAGCTTTGTGCGCTCGACCATTCGGTATTTGACCCTGCAGTCTTAATCTGCGGACAGCTTCTCTCAAGTGCTTTGGTTGTAATGGACCAGTTTCATTCTGGGCCTCCATAACATCTAAAGCTATAAAACAAGCACAATATAATCTGCAATTAAATTCCAATATTCTAACCGTACTTATAAAGGCCATTGCACGTAACAAAGATTTAGCCATAATCGTAAGGCCGTAAGAAAATAAACCAATCACAGTTGATTATTCTCCTCACGCTCGAAGAATAATCGAGTGTGATTGGTCTATTTTCTTATGGTCTTACGATTACGACTAAAACTTTGTTACGTGCAATGGCCTTAAGAAAGAGCTCGTACCTTCTTCAACAATCTCGCCAACAAATACTTTAGCAATTCCCGACATAGCTATGACAACGTTCTGAGACACCGAACAGCCTGTTATGGTTTGCATAATCTGTGAAACATATTTAGTATAATAGTTCTTTAATAAAACGGCTATTTCTTTTGTACATAACGACTAAAAATAAGGTGCGTACCCTCTTTATAGCTGCCTTTGGAAATGCAGATCGTCTGTACATCTCGTATCTGTCCAATTGATCTTCAGTGAAGTTGGATACTAGTACTCTGTAAAAGAAAAGTTCTCAAATATATTCCTCAATAGTCAAGCAATAAACTTGTTATACGTGCACATAAACTTGCAAGACGTCAAATACGTACTGCATCTTTTCTCTCTCCTCCTCTTCTATCTCCCTTCTGCTCTTCTCCTTACTCTCCCGCCTTTCTTTCGTACTGACTGGGTTGGCGCGAGGTATCATAATATCATTACTGAATATATCCTCTGCAGTCTGTTCGTCTTCCTTTCTGTCAAATTCGTGCTTCACAATCTCTATTGCTTCCACAACTCGGTAGGTAGAATTAGATCCTGTGTTTTCAGTCTCTTCAGTATCCGACTGCGATCGAGAGCTCATTGCTTCCAACAACTCCGCCTAAGTAATACAGATAATGATTAGTTAACTCTCTTGAAAAATAAGTTATAAAATTGAATTAAATGTTTAATGTTTTGACAGCATCTGCACCTTAACTTGCATACTACTAATCTCCATAGCTTCACTATCTTTAGATCCTGAATTTTGCGCTAGATTAACTTTGATATCTTTATATTTGTCAACATCTTTACGTTCGCCATCTCTTTCATCCCCAGAATCTTCCTTCCCAAAGATATTATCCATCTTTCTAACAGAAAAAAAAATATATATATATACGATAAGTATTACAGTGAGCCTATTCTGCGATTCTTAAATTTCAATAACCAACGGTGTCATAAGATATTTTAATTCTTTCAAACCCACATAAGTCAATTACGTAAAACATCATAAAATAAAACGTTACAATTTTACATGATTCTGTTAATTAACGTTACACACTATGTTATAATAAGCATAAAGAATGTTTAATAACTTATAGAAACGTTTTATAAATTATAAAATAAACGAAAAAAGGAAATAAACAAATCACTTGCTGGCTTTTTTTAGATTCGTAGGTACAATATACAAGTGTATTTACATCGATTATAATATTTAATGCAGGATGCTGATTTATTTTATTCGTCGGATTAACAAAACGATCTGCCACGAATATCAATCAAGATACGGTATTCTTTAACGAAGAAATATCGACCGTAACAGTAAACATCGTACACAACAGAGGAGCACTGCGAATGCAAGACACAAGTTAGGTTAGGTTCGCTGCTTCGATTGTATCGAGTATCGAGATCTCGAGAATCGCGATATCTAGTCGTGATTACGCTTTTGGTGAACATGCATGTCCCGAAAAATCAATATCACAAAAATTGAAAACTATGACAATGGACCGATTTCACAGTCTCCGATTAACTTGATCCTTCGATTAAACTCACTCTTCGTCTCTTTCTAAGGGGGACAATTAGAAAGAGATGCGGAGTGAGTTTATATAATCGGAGGATCAAATTAATCGGAGACTGTGAAATCGGCTCTATATGGGCCGGTATCACAGTCTCCGATTAACGTGATTTTCCGATTAAACTCACTCTTCGTCTCTTTCTAGAGGGACAGTTAGAAAGAGATGCAGAGTGAGTTTAATCGGAGGATCACGTTAATCGGAAACTGTGATACCGGTCCTATGTGCCAAAAGGGCGCAATCCCGAAATCATATAGAAATGAGACAATGTCCCGAAAAGTTATACCGTTCAATCGTGGCAATCATATATGTACCATTAAATTAACTGTAACGATAAAAAGCATAGTTTTTCAGAGATCGACACTATAATATAAATTGACTATATTAAGTGGTACAATGGCGACTTTGACGACAATGAACAAATAATATAAATTTACCTTACATCTTGATAAGAACAGATTTATTACATATAAATTTTAGCCAAAAATGACTCAAATTATGATATAGTTCCGGAGTCGGCGCGTAACAAAAATAGTTAACAAAAATCTATAAAATCAGCTTAAAAAAAAAAAGAAAACGTTGCATGAAAACGTTGCAGTCATACCCCCATACCCCCTAAGAAAGACGTAGTTCTACGTCAAAACATTATAAACGAGAAAAAAAGGCTAAAACCATTTTGTAATGCTTTTCTATTATTTTTCTATATAACATTTATGATTGCCTAAATATATAATATAATATAATAAAATCGATTTTATATTTTAAAGCAATTAATTTTGCTTCCTCATAGAGGAAGCTTTGTTTTCATAAATTTCGTAGGTAAATGTTTAGTATAACGCTCTCCCCTCCGATTTTCTTAAAACTTTGTAAAATTGTTTATTTCTGTGTGTAAAAAACATTCTGAGAAGGAAAATTGTCGCTCAGGTCTCGTTTTTTTTAAATTTAATTTTAAAGTTTTGATGTCGGTAAGGTAGGAAAATAATAATTTACGTTTTTTAAATACTGCGCAACTTCATTTGTTACTATATTCACAAATTAAGTTGTCCGCATACTCATTAACGGTGCCATTTAAGTTAAAATTTTATGGTTGTGAAATACTGTACGTGGCCAAAATTGATAAATTGCTAAATTGTGATTTTCGTTAAAGCAGGGCACAAACACACGTATGTATGGCCCTGCTTTATAGAACTTGTTATTTTCGTTAAGGGCGGGGTAAAATATTTAAATTTTTTTTTCCATTTTTTTTAATTTTTTAAATGAATGCATAATATCTCAAGAATATTGTGTTAAAATTTCAAGTCGATCAGAGTAAAATTGACGAAGTTATGAGTATTTGAGCGTCTATTGCTCCATGCCGGGTTTTATACCTGGGCGGCAGTTGCGCGGCGCGCTATTGTATTTTTCGACCCCGAATAAATTTCTTGATAAACGGGCCTGTTCCGGTCCCGTTATGTATATTCGAGGCATGAGGTCATGAGGAGCATGCGGCGCACGACAGTAAAGAAGAAAGAGTTTTGCGTAGACAAAAAGATGCTCTCGATCATCTTGATGGAAGCCTTTTGCTCTACGGACCTGGCATCGACGACTTTGAGTGAGTATAAGAAAATTATCGAGTTTCATTTTGAATTTCTAAAAATTCAAAGATAATTGAAAAATCTGAAAAAATTCATACGTATTCAGAAAAATGAACAAATCACGAAAAAAAATTGGGTTGTGGGGAAATTTGTTGACTAATTTTTTTTTTTCATCATTTTGTTAATAACATTTTGGAATTATTATTATGCAAAATTAATCTTTTGAGTACCTTTAATATGCATGAATTTTCTCAGATTTTTATGCAATCGAGAAGTGTTCTCAAACTTATGTGCAATGAGCGCTAAGCGACCAAACTCTTCTGCGTTTTTCAAACCGTTTTTCTGAGACTTGTCATATTTGAAGTCCGTGTGCACGATAACTCAAAATCTACTGGACCAATCGCTTTGAAATTTTGCACAGTACTTCTTCACATAATTCACCAGGTATTGTCGAGAGCTTTTTTGTTTTTTTTAATAATTACTAATTTTTCAACAACAAATTAGCCGATTTTTTTTAGTGAAAATCGGGTTTTTGGCTCCCAAGTGCTACGAAAAATCGAAAAATCGAAAAAAAAAATCTTCCCGTCATTACCTCGAGAAACATCTCCTTTAACAAATGCATTTTGATTTTTTTGTTTCAGATGATTCTGTTGCGAGTTATGGTGCACACCGCAAACCAACTTTTTTTCGAGGCGCCTCCGGGGTTTAATTTTTACTCGCTCAATTTTGAATATTTTGCAATGAAAATTTAGGAGAATGTTGTTCAAATGTTACTTTATTATATGTAAATTTTTCAATAAACAAACACTATCCGTTACGCCAAAAAAAAATCTTAAAAACATGCCTTTTTTCGCCGAATTAACTTTACCCCGCCCTTAAAGCAGGGCACAAACACACGTGTGTATGCCCTGCTTTATAGAAGTTGTGATTTTCGTTAAAGCAGGGCGCACACACACACACACACGTGTGTATGCCCTGCTTTATAGAAAGTTGTGATTTTCGTTAAAGTAGGGCACACACACACGTGTGTATGTCCTGCTTTATAAAAGTTGTAATTTTCGTTAAAGCAGGGCACGCACACACACACACACACACACACACACACGTAATTTTCTTTTTTTTTTCTGAGCTTATGTATGCCTTGCTTTATAGAAGTTGTGATTTTCGTTGTGATTTTCGTTAAAGTAGGGCACACACACACGTGTGTATGTCCTGCTTTATAGAAGTTGTAATTTTCGTTAAAGCAGGGCACACACACACACACACACACACACACACACACACACGTAATTTTCTTTTTTTTTTCTTTTTTCTGAGCTTATGTATGCCTTGCTTTATAGAAGTTGTGATTTTCGTTAAAACAGGACACACACGTGTGTATGCACTGCTTTATAAAAGTTGTGATTTTCGTTAAAGCAGCCCAGATAGCACAGCTGATCTTTATGAATTCAAAAAGATCTGAATCTGATCTTTATATGAATTCATAAAGATCAACTGTGCTATCTGGGAGGGCACACACATGTTTTAAGCAGATATTTTGTATTTAATTAGCAGAAAGTTGTCACGTGACCTTCAAATGAAGTTGCGCAGTACTTTTAAAACCTAAATTATCATTTTCCTACCTTACTGACATCAAAATTTTAAAATTAAATTTAAAAAAAAACGAGACCTGAGCGACGATTTTCCTTCTCAGAATGTTTTTTATACACAGAAATAAACAATTTTACAAAGTTTTAAGAAAATAGGAGGGGAGAGCGTTATATTAAACATTTACCATTTCGTATATGGACCTTTGATCGCATATAAAGCTAAGTCTAATAATCAACCGAATTTAAAAAAATTATATATGAAATAGAGATAGAAAAGACAGAAGTAAAAATTGTTTTTTGAGTTTTCAATGCCAATGTGTTGCTTATGTTCTAAAACGTCGAAAAATCACGTTTGAACAAAATGTCTGTGTGTATGTATATGTGTGTGTATCTTTTTTTTTGTTTATGGTATAACTTCCGTAATTTTTTAGATATCGGGATGTTTTTTTTTTAATCGATAGAGTATCATATAAGGAAGGTTGGGATTGAATTTGGCGATGATCGGTAAAGCGGTTCTTTTTTAATAAAATTTAGAATTTTGATAGAAATGTTTGTGGTTGTTCTAACTTTCGCAAATTTGGAGATATCGATCTATTTCTAATTTTATTATATTTTTCAGTCTTTTCTACGCCTATTTCATATATAATTTTTTAAGATTTGGTTGATTAGACCCAGCTTTATACGCGATCAAAGGTCCATAATTTTGGTGAAAGCAACTCCCACCACAGCTTAGGAGAGTAAGAGCGGCCCGGGGCGGGCCCTATGTCATTGGTGATGGGACCATAGAGATATAAGAATAGAGTGCGCGAGTCATATGCTAGCACGTAAGAGGCTGCGATATAGGAATAGAAAAAGAACGCTGCATATAGGCCCTTTCTGTCTTTGTCTACGCGTGCATGCGAAACAAAGACAGAAGGGGCCCATGCGCAGCTTTCTCTTTTTATTCTGCGCAGCTTTCTCTTTCTATTCCTATATCGCTTTTTCAGCTCGCTCGCGCACTCTATTCTTATATCTCTATGGATGGGACCGCATAGGGCTTAGCTCAAAGGGTCAGTCTCAATCCTCAACCGTTGACGTACACTTCTACCTCCAGGCAATTGCGTCTAAAGGGCTTTAGGGGCTTTAGCATATATTGAGTAATAAATAAGTATACTCGTATTAGCAATCCGTTGTATTTTTTCAACTTGTAAGTTAACGACACACCATGTATTCCTATAAATAAATTCAAAAGTAAAAGCCAAGCGTTCTTAACTGTAAGGTTGATTATAGTAAAAAGAGATTATATCTTGTTCAATCTTATTTTGTTTTAAAGAGTATTATATTTATAATTTTTTCTCAGATTACGCTCCATCATTGCCTGAGACTACGAAAGATCAAAGGTATTTTCTCTACATCGAATAATGCTCTGCAATATCAAAAAACGAGGATACACAGTCTCCGGTGTGAGTTTAATATAAAATATATTTCGCCACGTGTTTGACACTGGCGCATCCGACGCCGCGCAGAGAGGCGCGATCCTTCATCACGCCACGTGCTTGACACTGCGCATCTGACTACATCTGACACTGCCATGTATGTATAATCTATAAAATTACCTTTTCAATGTAAATAATTCTAACGGCACTTTTTATTTATATCAATTGATTTAACAATGTTTCAAGTACATCTGAAAATTTTTTCAAGCTGATCGCACTAGTCAATTTAAAATGGTGGACGATCAAAGTGTGTGTAGGGTCAAATTGACCCAGTGTTCTTTTGAAAAAAACGTAATTTACCACTGTACCACATTTAATATCAGACAATATGTATTACAGAACAGTTATGGTACTGAGAAAGAAACGCAGCAAGTTGTGGAATTATTTCGAGGAATTGAAACCTACACTGGTAAAGTGTAGGACCTGTAAAAAAGAAATTAAAATATCTCGTCCATCCAACAATACAACAATATTCAGAACACATTTAAAGAGACATGGAATATTTCTCGATAATGACACTCTCACATTTCCTGACGATTTAAAACAGTATTACTCGGAGTTACCGGGATATAAGGCAAAATGTAATAATTGTGGCAAAACATTATCCTTCTTAGGAAGTTCGACAAATTTACGAGGACATTTAAGAAGACATTCCATAAGAATCCAGAGTCGAGATAAGTAAGTACACATTCAAAAAATTATTAAAATATTAAAGATTATAAAATAAATGTAATGACAAACAATCAATAGCTAAAAAAAATTTATCGAATAAGAGTTTTTATCGGGGGATCCATATAATATTTATTTGCAATTTTGATCATAAATGTGCATGTACATTTGGTGCGTTTCTTACCTTTTAAAAAAAAAATATGTTTCAAGATCTGTACGCAATCTGATAATTATGCAAATTTTAACTATATATCCGTATAAACATACCTCCTAATAAGTAAACCATGCCTCTTCATGACCTTTGTGAGAAATTCTACAAACGCTTGTTAAAACAATCACTGTACCACATTTAATATCAGACAATATGTATTACAGAACAGTTATGGTACTGAGAAAGAAACGCAGCAAGTTGTGGAATTATTTCGAGGAATTAAAACCTACACTGGTAAAGTGCAGGACCTGTAAAAAAGAAATTAAGATATCTCGTCCATCAAACAGTACAGCAATATTCAGAGCACATTTAAAGAGACATGGAATATTTCTCGATAATGACATTCTCACATTTTCTGACGACTTAAAACAGTATTACTCGGAGTTACCGGGATATAAGGTAAAATGTAATAATTGTGGCAAAACATTATCCTTCTTAGGAAATACGACATATTTACGAGAACATTTAACAAGACATTCCATAAGAATTCAGAGTCGAAATGAGTAAGTACACATTCAAAAAATTATTAAAATATTAAAGATTATAAAATAATATGTAATGACAAACAATCAATAGCTAAAAAAAATTTAGCGAATAAGAGTTTTTATCGGGGCATCCATATAATATTTATTTGCAATTTTGATCATAAATATGTGCACATACACTTGGTGCGCTTTTTACCTTTCTTTGAAAAAGATATGTTTAGAGATCTGTACGCGATCTGATAATTATGCAAATTTTAACGATATATCCGTATAAACATACATCCTAATAAGTAAATCATGCCTCTTTATGACTTTTGTAAGAAATTCTACAGACGCTTGTTGAGGCAATCACTGTACCACATTTAGTGTCAGACAATCTGTATTACAGGACGACACCGACAAAGAAACGCAGCAAGTGGTGGAATTATTTCGAGGATTTAAAACCTTCGTTGGTAAAGTGCACGACCTGTAAAAAAGAAATTAAGATATCTTATCCATCAAGCCGTACAACAATATTCAGAGCACATTTAAAGAGACATGGAATATTTCTCGATAATGACACTTACACACTACTTGACGAATTAAAGCAATGTTACTCGGAATTACCGGGATATGAGGCAAAATGTAATAATTACGGCGAAACAATAGGCTTCTTAAAAAGTGTTGGAAATTTACGACAACATTTAAAAATACATTCCACGAGAATCCACAGTCGAGATGAGTAAGTACACAATCAAAAAATTATTAAAATACTAAAGATTATAAAATGAATGTAATGATAAAACAATCAGTAGCTAAAGAAAGTTGAGTGAATAAAAGTTTTTATCAGGGCATCCATGTAATATTTATTAGCAATTTTGATCATAAATATGCCTTTCAAAACGTGATAATAATAACACAGGCCCACAAAAAAAAGTAGGTTGTGATGGGGATCTGACGATACTATTCCTACGTATTTTGAGCCGCTGAAAACGAATATGAAGTCAGAATTGATCCATCACCCTCCAGTTTTTTTAAACTTTAATTAATATTTTTTAAAATTAATCCTTAGAGTCACGAATTATTCTTTACCAATTTTAATGAAACTTTGCATCCGGAGGTTTTATGGGGCGCTAATTACGAATCCGTTTTCGAATTTTTTAAATTCAAAATGGCGGTTCCAATATAGCGGACGTAAAATCAAAAATTTAAATAATTTCCGTGAAACTTTGCATCCAAGGGTTTTTTGGGTCGCTGATTACGAATCCGTATTCGGATTTTTAAAATTCAAAATGGCGGATTTAATATGGCAAACGTAAAATAAAAAATTTAAATAATTTCCGTGAAACTTTGCATCCAGATGTTTTTTGGGTCGCTGATTGCAAATCCGTATTCGGATTTTTAAAATTCAAAATAGCGGATCTAATATGGCAAACGTAAAATAAAAAATTTTAATAATTTCACGGATATTGGATCCGCCATATTCTTTCTTCTTCTTGCTCACTCTCACTTACAAACTTCACTCTATTACGGTTCACCGTCAATAAGTAATAATAGCATTAATAATACGTACAGTTGTAGTATTTCAATAATTATTTTTTTCTATTTTTAATCACACCATTTTTCTATACAGACCAAGCACTTCAAGTTTAGCGGATGATAGTATGGGTCCTCCTGCACGCCGTCAAGGTCAAGATACATCTGGTTTGCTCGTTCAATCATTTATTAAAGAAACGACAGAAAAAACAGGCGCACTTAATGAGTAATTATTCGATTTTCTTATATCCCACAATATAATAATGTCTTGATATTTAAATTAATTCTTATTATATTCATTTGCAAGAGAGTAAGTTACAACGTTAATATTTTAAATAATCCCATTTCTAATTGCACCGTTTTTCAATGCAGACTAAGCACTTCAAGTTCACCGGGTAACGATATAGATCCCAATGCAAAACGTCAAGGTCAGGAAACAATTGATTTGGCTCTTCAATCATGTGAACAATCGAGAAAAGAAACAAGGACACGTGATGGGTAATTATATAAATTAATGTTTTGTTTGTATCATAACAATATAATAAATAATTCCAATACAATTTAATACAATTTAAATAATTCCATTTCTAATTGCTCCGTATTTTAATGCAGACCAAGCACCTTAAATTCAATGGCTTATATTACGGATCTTTCTACAGAAAAATATATTCCTTTGCGTCAAAGTCAAGAACAAGTACCATCTGGTTTGCCCGTTCAATCATTTGAACAAATGCCAGAAGGAACAAGCGCACTTCATTCGGATAGGTTTTATTGTACAATGTAATGATATCCAACAAATATTGACTTTTCTACATAAATGTAACTTACAACTGCAACATTTTAAATAATTATTGTTTCTTTTTAATTTTTAATTATACCACATTTCTATGCAGACCGAGCGCTTTAAGTTCAACGTGTTATGTTATGGCTCCTTCTGCAGAACATCAAAGTAGAGGACCATCTGGTTTACCCGTTCAATCATTTGAACAAATGACAGAAGGAACAAGCGCACTTCA